TCCCCATTTCAGGTTGAGTAGGTGGCGAGCATGACGAGGAGAGGACGAGTGGCTGGTCCTTTATTTATGTTATTTGCTTCCGTATTTAGTTCTATGAACATGTTGGTCTGATTTTTATGAACCTGTTTATGTTCGTTTTTCAGACATGTGGTTTTGCTTTCAAACTTGGGTTTTGAAAAGGTTAAACTTGTGGTTTGGTTTTTGAACCCGATGAGTGGTTCGTTTCTTATTGAAACATGTTGAACTGGATATTCATGATTGATATGTTTATTTGAAAAGCATGTCGAGTTTTGCTTTGGGATAATGAAATCCATGTGAAAAACCGGGTAATGAATCCCCGTGAGTTCAGATATGACTTGAACTATGTTTTGAAATGATGAATAATGCGCATGTAAATGTTGATTTTGAAAAATGAATTTCTAAAATGCTATCTTGATTTTTGGAAATTCCAGAATTTTTTTAAAATCAAAGTGGGGCGTTACATCCAGAATATCAGAAAAAAGTTCCAAGTAGCCCGTCATATAATGTGAAGCACCGCTATCATACATCCACTCATAAGGACTACGCTTACCGGACAAAATAGCATTGTTGCGGGCAGAAGTGACGAGTGTACAATAGACTTCCATTGGGCATCGGTCAACCCAGAAATAGCCACCTGATCGGAGTCTGTCAATGAGGATGTTGGCCCGCCATTTATGGAGCCAAAGGTGCAAAAGCGGAGTTGACAAGGGTTGGACCACCGCAATCGACATCAACCGGTCTGGGACCACATCCGCCATGACTAGTCGTTCCCCGTCGTGAGCGGTTGTTCCCCAGCTGCGACTGACGTCGGTTCCTCACCAATCGGATAACACTGACGAGCTGAGGAAGAAGAAGCCATGATGTCTCAAAAATCAGATAATCAGATAATCACCAACAATACCACGAACCAGGCGACAAAATATGAATCAGATAAGAAAAATCAGATGAAATAGCAGTACGGACAGAAATTAAAAAGTTCACGAAACCAAATCTGATCACACCACAATGTAGCCAACCTCGACTTTTCCCTCAACTAACCCTTTTAATCTCCTCCCTCCATTTTTATCTCTATTCAATAACTGGGGCCGATCAACCTGTTTAAATTTTTTCTTCTTGTTTCTACAAATAAGACCCTTAGACCATTTTTATGATTTTCCACTTATGCTAAAATTTTGTCTACTATTATACTCATCCAACCTTCTGCAAACAAAACTGTTTTTCCATCGCTGTGATCAATTGTTCGACCACTATTGCTTGCAGTTTCCTAGATTAATCAATACATGAATCACTATATCTATGAGTAAGCCTTCTTTGTCTTTTTTTTTTTTTTTGTTAATTTTCCACGCATAATTTTTCATCTATTTTCTCCTCACAAAATCTTAGATAGTGAATTTCTCCTCTTCCAATCTCCTTCGTCTAAGACCTAAATTTTTCCATTTTCTTTCTTTTTTTTTTCAGATTCTTGCACCATATAGGCTGTTCGGTCAGGATAAGATTTCTCATTGATAATCTTCGACTTATGCCTCTCTATTAACTCTTTCCCCCTCTCTGGATCTTATTCCCCAACCAACTCCTATTTTCTCTCGACCCGATCTATTTTCTTCGAGCTCACCTAATTTTTATCAACCTACTCAATCTTCTCCGGTTTTTCGTCCTTCCCATAGACCTCTTCAGTTAGTCGATGAGTTCGAATCTGAAGAGGAGAAAGTCGACTTTTCTCTTTAACCTGCCCCAATTTCCTTTGCCATTTTCTCTGCCCCTGTGCAAATCGCTCCTTCAACCTCGTAGGCTGGCCATCTAGGCACCGACCTCTATATGGTCAAAGAAACTGATGAAACTAATGAGAAGATTGAGGTTGAGACTCCTCCTTGACCTAACCCCCAGTTAGAATTACTATCATTCGCAGGCCGAGCAACTTCCTCGAGTCAATGATCAATGGCTTTAGGAATTTCTTATTCGTTTTGGATTGCTCGAAGATTGGGGGTATGTCACTCCTTGACCCTCAGACGCGTTCGATCATCCCTACCTGACTGTTATACCTTCTTTTAGAACCAGGTAGAACTAGGTATTAGGTTTCCTATAAACCAAGACCTCCTCGACCTTTGCCAAATTTTTAGCCTTCCCCTTAGTCAGCTCCTTCTTAATTGGATTCACCATCTTCTTTCTTTTTGCATTCTCTCATTTTGTAGATTAGGTCATATCGACCCTGAATTACTTTTTTATTGTTGGTTTTGCAAATACCAAAGAGATGGTCTATACCTCTCAACCCGCATCAAGGTCAAATTTATGGTCGATATCCCTTCCAACCTTCCCAAGTGAAAACAAATATTTTCTACCTTCGACCTTCTTATCACCTTCCTTTTTTTCGACCCTTTGGCTTGAGGTCGTCCTTGTCAAACTCACTCATCATGCTCACAGCCCTGTCAAACTCACTCATCATGCTCCCGTATGACGTTGCCTGGGCCAGACAGGCATGTTAGAGGCATATTGAAATGAAAAAACAGGCATGGAGCGCACGGCACTCTGAAAAAGTGGCTGGCCGAGATGGATCCCGAGCCACGTGCTTTGATAGATCAGTCGGGGATG